ATGTTTTGGACCTGTAATTTTAAACATGAAATTCTTGACAAATTTTTTTCTAAATATCGTTTAATTTAGGTTTTGTATCCGAATAAACGAAATATTGTTAACATTTGTTAGTGTAGAGATAACAATTAGAATGTAACAAATCAAATCAAAACAGTAGTTAAAAATTAAAAGTATATGCTAGCTAGTTATATTTACCTTCATTTTTTTAGGCTATAAATTAGTCGTTTTGAATTGACCAGGTTCTGAATTAATTGCCTTTGCATGAGATACTTAGTGTCTTTTTTGAGTCGTGGTGTGACAATTTGGCACTGACAACTATAACCCACAAAGGAATGTCATTGAATGGGCGTTGAGGAAGAAAGGAGTGAATGAGAGACTTGTTAAAGCTGTGATGCAGCTGTATGAAGGGGCGAAGACAAAGGTGAGAGTCGGAAGGGGGATGTCGGACGCTTTTAGTGTCAAGGTAGGAGTGCATCAAGGATCAGTGTTATCACGGTTTTTGTTTGCAATTGTGATGGATGTTGTCTATGGAAACATAATGGAGGGGTTGTTATTTGAGATTTTGTATGCAGATGATTTAGTCTTGATGGCTGATAGCATGGAAGAATTGCAGTTAAAATTTGACAGAAGGAAAAGTGTTATCGAAAAGAAAGGGTTAAAAGTTAATATTGGTAACACGAAGGTAATGGTGAGTGGGGAAGTTGGGGAGCGAGTGATAAGTAAAATAGACCCCTGTGGGGTATGTGACAGGAGAGTGAAGGCTAACTCGGTATTGTGTATAGGATGTCAGAAGTGGGTGCATAAGAGATGTAGTGGTGTGAGGGGGGCACTGAAAAAGGTGGAAGGCACGTTCATATGTAAGAAATGTGTTCATGGTGTGATTAATAGGACGGACGCAAAGACGGGGTTGAGGGGTGGTATTGAAAGAGTGGAAAGCTTTGTTTATTTAGGGGTTAAACTGAACGCGGATGGAGGATGTTTGAGCGCTGTTACGGCTAGAGTTCGTGTGGGATGGATGAAATTTAGGGAACTTGGTGGGGTATTTGTGGAAAGAAATGGTCAGTGAAGATGAAAGGGAGGGTATATAAAGCATGTATGAGAGCAGCGATGGTATATGGTGGTGAAACTTGGGTGTTGAGGAGAGAGGAGAAAAGTGTACTGCAGAGGGCTGAAAGAGCTATGGTGAGGATGATGTGTGGGGTTAAAGTGAAGGATAGGAGGAGTAGTACAGAGCTGATGTCGATGATGGGACTGAATGAGGACATCGTGACATTGATAAGGAGATAGAGATTGCGGTGGTATGGACATGTGTTGAAAAGGAATGAAAGGGTCGGGATTAGGCGAGCGTTGGAGTTCGAGGTTGAGGGAGTGATAGGAAGGGGTCGTCCGCGATTGGGATGGAGAGAGCAGGTGGAGAAGGACAGGGTGAAAGCGGGGTTGTGTGATATTGAGGCAAGTGACAGATGTGAATGGCGTCGAGGGGTATTTCGGTTTCATCATAGGTAGCCAAACGGCAACCCCCGATCTCTATATCTATTCGCCGTCTGGACTCCTCTTCCTTGAATCGTTTGTCTTGTTCAACTGTCGTCTAAACGTGTGCTGTTGTTGTTGTAACTTTAACCCACAATGTTTACATATGGCAAAATCCTGGATAATCTGTTGAATGCAATTACAAAATACACAAAAGTTTATCTATTTAGTAAATAATTAATCATTTAATTTATCAAATACTCTAAGGGTTCGTTTTCGGTCTCGACCTGACAATCAAAAACTCGAAAATTTTAAAACAGAAACTTTATTACTCCAACAATATTTTTGGCAACAACTCCTTCATCCAGTCTGCCACCAGAACAGAAGCGACTTGGCTTGTTTCAGTGTTTCAACCTTTTTGTTCTAGAAATAAAATCCGAGATGTCTATGTAATTTTTCCTCGAAGGCCGGATACGTTACCTCTTTCATCTTTCTGGTTACAAAAAACTCGTTGCGAAGTTTAATACGAAAGAAGCGACATGGTTTCAGAATCTGTTGTTTTATCTAGTCATAGTTTTGCAGATCATTCGGTTTATTTCATTCAGCACACTTCTCATTTTGGCATCCAACTTCGACACTAACACTAGCTCTCACGCTATATTTAACTTTATGCTTATCAAGAATACCTTTCGTAACCTAGAAATACTCCGCAATCTTTCGCGGATCAGACGGATACATTTCAATCGATGGACTCACTCGTTTCAAAATTTTGATCACATGATCTTGTTGTTATATATCTCTTGCCAACGACCCTCCCTGTGCTACTACATGAGCCTTACTTTCCATTACCCACATCTCTGCTCCTCAGCGTGCTCTTCTATCTTCTTCTATATCTATTCGCCGTCTGGACTCCTCTTCCTTTAATCGTTTGTCTTGTTCAACTGCCTTAGCTTTCCGTCTGGACTTCTCTTCCTTCCATCGTTTGTCATAAATTTTTGGAAAAAGACTTCAAGAATTTATATATACAATAGAATATAATGAATTTAAATTGAAGCTTGAAACTTAGTTAAGTAAGTTAGATGTATCACAGAAGTAAGAATTAAGAAAAAGGCTAAAAAATAATTAATATAAGAATCAATATTATTAAGGTCAAACTTGTTAAATTTAACATCAAAATTAAACAAAGAGTTAAACAAAAAATCACAATATGCATTGTTAACAGCCGTTAACAATTAACAGCCATTATGTTGATTTAGTGATGCTGCGGAATTGATGTAGGAAGATGACCCCGTTTTTGATTAGGCTTTTTGTTATTGATGTGGCTGGACTAATAGGGTGGAGTGAACAGGACGGAATTTTTTTAAAATTTTTATTCTAATAGTAAAAAAGTTGTCCAATGACCATTATAACTATAATATCTCTTCAATAATGCAAGTTTTTCAGGTGCCCCAGAGGGTTTGATTTTTATCACCAAAATGCAGCCAGTCACAAAATCATGTTTGATAGTCTTTTTTAGTGTTGAAATACGGCATTTTCATTCTTGATTTTATTCGTGATCGGATAAAGCCATCTATCGAATACTGACCACACACAACAGTCAATGCTTCAATAACTATCTTTATATACCTTTCAACAGATTGCATGTGACAAGGAAATCTTGGAAATTGTAAAACAACTTTTTCATCTTCATCTCATAGGCAGTGATGGGCAACTAACTAAATATTTTTAATTAAACTATAACTATTTTTCAACTAAAAATAAGTAGTTAAACTAATAGTTATAAACTTTTTTCAAAAAGTAGTTAACTAAACTAAAAAAAAGTAGTTAAACTTTTTCCAACTATTTTGCAACTATTTTTACATTTACTTTTTTACAGACATAATCAAAAGT